AATCTGCATTAATTTAGGAGTGCCCGTGCTGTTTGCTGTTCTTTATAAATGTAAGAAACTTTCAAGAAGAAATGGTGGTAGTTACTAGAACGAACAGTGTTTCCACATGATATGACACTGGTGGAAACACTGGGGCAGTTACTTCTACTCAAAGTAGCTAATTGTGGCCTGTCATTATATGGTGCAAAGTTGCCCCTGACTGATCATGACCCCATGAATGAGCGATCTCCAATATGTCCTGTCCTTGGTCAGTTTTTGCATACTCAAGCTTATGGATTCCTTCAGGTGTCAACCCATCTCATATTTAGTCTTCCACTTTTCCTGTTGCCTTCAATTTTTCCCAGCATTATTGTCCTTTTCAGAAAAATCTTGTCTTGTGATGTGACCAAAGATCCACTGTCCTTTTATCTCTTGTATTAATCTTCAGTTAACTGATTCCACCTCTTTATATTCTCCTGGTCAGATAGTGTGTTTCCTTGTTGGTCATCAGCATTCCTAATCTTGGCTGCAATTTTCCTTTGATTTCTTAGATCTTTTGGAAGAGATATCTTGCTTTTTCCCATTTTGTGTGTGTGTGTGTGTGTGTGTGTGTGTGGTGTGTGTGTTCTCCTTTATTTCTTTGCACTGGTCATAGTAGTAGTTCTCTTTGTTTCTCTGTAACTATTGCTGAAGAAATGCATTCAGGGTTCTGACCCTCCTTCTGCCATCATTTGCTTCTCATTTGTCCTTTACAGTTTAAAGTGTTTATTCCGTCATTTCTTTTCTACAACACGAAAGGCAGGACTCAACAGGATGCCTTCTGCGTTTACTGCTTTTCATTTTTGTTGAATAACAGCCCTGATAATGCTTTGTGTTTAGTCAAGAAGTGGTTAACTGCTGGAAAAAGTAGTCAACATCTGGGATTTTCCCCCTTTTGGTGTTACTTTGTGAATGATAGCGAGCACAAGATGGTAGCCTGTACACTATCTTGATTGATGCCATTGGTGTCGCCAACATTCAGCCTGCCCTTTGCTATGTAAAGCCTGGCATCCTTTTTCCAAACTGGCATTGTGAACACAATATTGTGCAGACATATCACTCCATTTCCTGGAATTTTGAATTATAGATACAGAAACACGATATCCAACATTTGTAAGCCAGAGGGTTTTTTTAAAAAAAGAATTGAATTATAATTGCAGATCCAGGGTGGAAAAAATTTCAACCCTGTTTAGCTTCTACCTCACCTCTTTAAAACGATAAATAAAGTTGGAGGAAATGATACCATTACAAATTACCTTCTAATGTTGAATCACATTCAGTTCTAGGGCTGGCTTTCTTGGAATCCTGCCCAATGACATTATGTCTGAATATATGCCATTTTTTTCAAGTCCTCGAATACTGTGATGTCTGCCAAAGGCAATATGCTGAAAATATAAGGGGAAAAATAATTTCTTTTGACAGCTTAATTTGGATAGGTGTTTAGTTGTGTCATGTACACTGTCATTTTAGTTATTTTATCAAACACTGTATGATTTAAAGGATGCCACAGTTAAAATCTGGGTTATGTCTTGCACATTGTTATTGCATATATGGATTCCATTCATTCAATTGCATAAGCATAAAATAGATTTAAATGCTAGTTATTGAAAAGTGGAGCAGAGGAGAAAAGCTCTATTTCTCCCACGAGGGGAAGAAAATACACCATCAAATGTTTGAGACAAGTTAGGGAAATGTTTGGTCTTCCACTTTTTATTGTAATGCAGCTGTCACAATCAGTGGTGGTGGATGATGACATCTTCCCTGTAGTCACATTTGGACAGCCAGTATGTTTCTCGTCCCACTTGGATAAATGGAGTTGAATGAAACATTTTAAAGTGCTGGTTAAGCTCCTTGGCAAAACAAGGCCATATTTGAAAGGGGTGGGAATTGTATTTCATTGAACTCTAGTAATATGGATCTTAAGGAAGAGGAAGAATAACTCACTGAGAAAGTACATGTTTTGCATAAAGAAAACTCCAGGTTAATCCTGGGTAGTGATGAGATTTTTGGATTTCCTATACTACAAACCCCATCACTCTTCATTCTGTGAGTTCTAGACACCTAGAGGTAGGTCACCTGGGAGAAATGTCTCAACTGGAAAGTTTTGAGGCTAAGATAGGCCTAGAGTTGCCTAGTTTTATGGTCAAAAGGGAAACTCCCAACTAGCAATGGGGCAGGAACAGGAAGTTTAGATGGAGCTAGGCCTAGCTTGCTTATTTATTTGTTTGTTTGATTGATTTATATCCTGCCCATCTGGTATATTCTACCACACTGGGCGGCTTACAGAATATCAAAACAATTAAAAAACATAAAAACATTAGCATACAACAATAACAAATAGTGCAGGAATAAATAAATAATAAAAAGCAAAGCGAAATCAGTAGTTGACAGGAGGGAAGGCCTGGATGTACAGCCATGTTTTCAGCTGACATTTGAAAGTACCCAGCGTAGGGGCCTCGCAAATCTCTGGAGAAAGGTTGTTCCAAAGGCAAGGAGCCACCGCTAAGAAGGCCTGGCTTCGAGTCTTTTCCCTCCGGGCCTCCTTCGGTGTCAGGCTCCTCACCCTCAGCAGCCCAGCAATCCGCCAAAGGTGGAAAAAGGTGGTGCGAACTACCGATGCCACCTGGGTTTCCATGGTGAGCGTCGGATCCAGGTGTACCCCTAGGCTGCGAACCCCACTCTTAGCAGCCAGGGTCAACCCCCCAAATGTGAGAGAGCCACCCAGGCCACCAACACCAACTTAGTCCCTAAGCCCTCTAGCTGAGGTGTTTCTCCCAGTTTATGTTAAGCAGAACTCCCAGAATGGAGACTTCTGTGATTTATAGTCCCAAGAAATTAATTTTTTTTTAAAAAAATGCCACTCCTAGTCCTGGGTATCTCCAGGTAGTAGGAAGCAATTGAAAAGAGGAAGCCGTCCATGCCAGAGAATTGTTGGAGACCCAAGAGTAGTAGACAAAGCAGTAAAGTAGAAGGTTGAATGGTCTGATAATAATACAAATCAACTTCAAAAGCTATCACAAGATTTTAAAATCACTTGGGTTTCCTAAAGCACATGTAAAACAGACCCTTCTGAAGTGACAAACATCAGCTGGGTTGATGGATGTGGGGAGAGGAGGAAAAGCAAAGCAATGGGTGTATCATTGGTCTATATGCTCATATCTGACAGCTGGAACAGAGCCTACTCAAATACAGCTGTACTGATATAGAGTTCCCTCCACATCATTGCAAATCATGCCGTTCTCTTGTTTTGAATTGTACAATATGTTGTACAATATGTATGTGTAGGGATGTGGGGCATATCACCAGACACTTACACAGCCTGCCCCCATGCATTGATTGTAATCTGAAAAGGGTTCACAAAGAGGAGTGGGCATTTCCATCTGAATCTACAATAAGCAATTGCTGAGAGCGTAGTGAGCACTGTTACATACAGCACTGATGTTACCTGTCTGTCATGGGTTTGGAGGGAAAGTTCCATCCTATGGGGAGTGGAAGGCGGGACATCAGGAGGAGGGGCTGTACTGTATAAATATGTGGAGTGTGTGTGGAGAGTTTAGGAGATGCTGAGAGATGCTGAGAGACACTGGGATGTGACGAAGCAGCAGCTGGGAAGAAGAAGCTGTTGTGGAAGTCTGTGTGCCAGACAGGGTACTTCTGTGTGTCAGAGTACCAACCTGATAGGTTCAGGTGTCTGTTGGTTAGCCAGAACTGATAGGTTCAGGGTCTGTGCTTTAAGTTAAGGGTTCTGGGTGAACCAAACTGTATGCTTGTATGAGTGAGAATAAGCCACGTTACTTTATTTTATTCACCTGATTGTTTATTTTTCCCTGTGTGTATTTAAAATAAACCTTATTCTTTTTATTGTTTGAAAATCCATCCCTGGTCTGTGTGACTTATTATAGGGAATGGTTGGTGGCAGCTTAGTAACTGTGTGACATATCCCAGTAGGTCTGGGTTTGTCACAAGCACATCTTAGGAAGCTGTACAGGCAATCATCATAGCTTAAGCTGAAAAGAGAGAGACCCAGTGAATCTCCAGTGGGAAATATTTTCACAGTTGGGATGCAGCCAGAAATGGGGAGGGCTTTCTGGTGCACTCTCCCTGCGTGCCCTGTACCATAGTGCTGCAATGCAGAAAATGGCTTCTCCACCCTCCACCTTAGGAGGCAAGCAGGGAGACATGAGAGATCATGTCCGTTTTGGTAACCTGGATTCAAAGAACAGAATCACATCAGGATTCATCTCATCCTCTGTGTAAATGTATTCAGAGCTTATATATCCTCACAATGATATTGTAATATTGTACAGTGCAAATGTGAAAATATATAAGCACTATGTATCAAACACGTACAGTATATGTATATTATTCATGACATATATTATTCAAAATAAAAAATCTAACTCTAAAGAATGCAGGAGTTAAGGCTGAAGAAAAAGCTGAGCAGATGTGTCGTGGAAGATAATGTCCAGTGATAGGAAAATATAGGTCAATTAAAAAGGTTTTGTGTGTGTGTGTTTGGAGTGATCCCTGATAAGCTAAGATTGTCCATATGACCAGGAGAGGAAACACTGACCTCCATATAGAGGGCCTTGGCACACAAATCAGAATGGCCAATTTTAACATGTCAGTATGTGATCCCTGATTGTTTGGAGTCACTCAGGATATAAGAAAAGATAGGGACAAACGACAGCAAAAGAATAAAGCAAACAATCACAAGCAATCCTAATTAGCAACATGTGAACTGTGGAGTTAAGGAAAAGGAAAATGCCATTTCAGAAAAAAGCTATTTTTCACGTGAAAAGTGATGCAGAAGAACACTTGTCTCCACGTTACTTTCAGTGACTTTGACTCCTTTTTCACCTACATCTTCTTCCTAAATATTCGAAGAGACAGTGTTTGTTTGAAGCAGCAACTGCAATTTCCATTTCAGAAAATATAACACTGGAAGGCGAAGCAATAATCACTTATCTTGTTCGAAACAGATAACACGGCGAGCGTTTATGCGAAACGCACGAGCTTCAATCGTCAGGCGCAAGACTTGTACTTTCTGCCGATTGTGATCAGTGACGGTGGGAATCCCCCACAAAGCAGCACCAATATGCTGACCATTCGGGTCTGTGGGTGCGATGGGAATGGCATCTTGATCTCTTGCAACCCAGAAGCCTACACGCTGAATGCTGGACTTAGCACTGGAGCTTTAATTGCCATCCTCGCTTGCATCGTGATATTGTTAGGTAAGGAAACCTCCACATTTTTACCCATGCCTTTGCTTACTTGTTCTTTTCTGCTGGCTGCAGAAAGCTTTGCTCAGCCAAACAAAATGTCATGTCGGTGAAACAATTAACTGCTACCTGCAGTGGAGACAGGGTATGCGTAGGAAGCAGTGATCTGGGGGGAAATAATGACTTGAAAACACTTTAGAGGACTATCTATAGAAAATTTGCTAGATTAGATCCTTCTACCTGACATATGGGATTGTTGAATGGGACAGCAGTTCAAAGACATGAGACTTAATCTAAAATTTGAATCTGTTATTTGAAATTGGTATTTCTATTTTATGCCCTCGAGGCACTTCTGACTCATGGTGACCCTAGTCAGGCATTTGAAACATGTGAGCTGTTCAAGGAGTGATTTACCGTTGCCACCCTGAAATGACTTCCAAGGCTAAGTGGGGATTTGAATCCAGGTCTCCTAAATCCTGATCCATTATTGGATCCACCATATCAAGCTCATTCACATTTGAAGTGGCACTTCTCAAATGTAGGCTGACCACCTCATCTACTAATTATCACAACAAGACTTGATCTGAAATAACACTTCTCAGAAAATGGATATAGAAATACAGTCTGAGAGATTTTCTGAGAATCCTCTCCATAAGAGAAGTTGGCAGCACCCACAGGGCTAATGTTGCTGCTGCCTGTGTTGGCATGAGAAAAGGGAGAGGCTGCCTATAACACCTACCAATGGTGAGGCCTTTTCTGTTCCATAAATTTGTCCCATAGAAATATTCATTAATTTGCTTCACCCTATGGGAAGTGGTGGAGCTGTGGGTTAAACCGCAAAAGCCTCTGTGCTGCAAGGTGAGAAGACCAGCAGTCGTAAGATCGAATCCATGCGGCAGAGTGAGCTCCCGTCGCTTGCCCCAGTTCCTGCCAACCTAGTAGTTCGAAAGCATGTAAAAATGCGAGTAGATAAATAGGTGCCACCACAGTGCAAAGGTAACAGCGTTCCGTGTCTAGTTGCGCTGGCTATGTGACCACGGAAGATTGTCTTCGGACAAACGCTGGCTCTATGGCTTGGAAACAGGGATGAGCACCGCGCCCTAGAGTCAGACATAACTGAACTACATGTCAAGGGGAACCTTTACCTTTACCTATTTTGCTTGCTCAGAGTATAGTAGAGAATTTAGGGAGGCCACTGGTTTCAACATGTCTTGACTTGGCTTACCTGGGTCAGGTCTAGAAATATTTAAATATTTAATATTTGTATAGTTGCCTTTTTAAGCTTTTAAATACTATTTTAATGATGTAAGCTACCTTGGCTCCTTTTGGGTAGAAAAGTGGGATAGAAATATTTTCAATAAAAAAATAAAAAATAATGAGTTTTTCAATAACATATTCTTTTGTGCTCCAAAGCCACTTCCATCTCTTAAAAGACAGACCAGTCTCATCGAAAACTAGAGATCCCCAATTTTAAAGACTTCTGTGGTTGTGGATTACAAAATTGTTTGTGCGACCTTCTGTGAGGAGAAGTTATAACAAATCATCGTCGAACTGCAGAGCTGGACGGGACCCTGTGGATCATCAAGACCAGCCCTTGTCAAAAGAGGGCCCAGTTGGGAATCGAACTCCCAACCTTTGGCTTCATATCCAGAGACCTAAATCACTGAGCTGTTCAGCAGTTCAGTGAATAACGGTAGCACCCAGGAAATAGGTAATCTATTTTTTTTTTTAGCCAATAATGTAAAGCGTGATCTGGGATGCACCTCCTTAAGCACAGACCCTCCTGCGTGCTTGACCTCCCCATTTTCCCAGTCCTAAGCTGGAAACAAAAACAAGAAATTAATACATGAGAAAACAATTTGCATTCAAGTCTCTTTCTCTTCCTCTTTGGATACTGGAGCCTATGTTTGCTGGTGTTTTGAGTCTCAGTTCTAGCCATGACATCCCCAGAGGTATCACACTATTCCTCTTGCTCTAATACAGTCTTCAAAAGACAGAGGGGAGGAAATACTAAAAACAACATGTCCAGTTTAGACCTCTGCTTCTTTTCCAACTTCTCAAAGAAATCTGAAAAAATTAGGATGTAAGATCTGAATAAAATGTGTGATTTTTTTTCTTTTCTTCAAAAGTGGGATGGCTCAAAAGATTTTGTTCCTTTCAAAGAGGGGGTTTTCATTCATGGAGTGAGAACTATGTAAACTGAAGGGGTGTTTCTGTGAGTGAGAGAGATCTTTCCATAAAGTCAGTCTCATTTTTGCATGGACAGAAGTTCTTTCCATGAGTGAAACAAAGTGTTTTGATTCAATATGTCACATCTGCCGCATTTATCAAAAGCACAAGGAGGTTATGTATTTCATTATCCACCTCCTCAGGGAAAAATAAAAAATAAAATAACCATCTCATTTCTCCCATCAGTGATTGTAGTGTTGTTTGTAACACTAAAACGTCAAAAGAAAGAGCCTCTCATTGTTTTTGAAGAAGAAGACGTCCGAGAAAATATCATTACTTACGATGACGAAGGGGGAGGGGAAGAAGACACAGAAGCTTTTGATATTGCTACCTTGCAAAACCCGGATGGCATCAATGGATTTATTCCTCGTAAAGACATCAAACCAGAATACCAGTACATGCCAAGGCCAGGGCTTCGGCCAGCTCCAAACAGTGTGGATGTTGATGACTTTATCAACACGAGAATACAAGAAGCCGATAATGACCCGACAGCTCCACCCTATGACTCTATCCAGATCTACGGCTATGAAGGCAGAGGCTCAGTGGCTGGTTCACTTAGCTCGTTAGAGTCAGCAACGACGGATTCCGATTTGGACTATGACTATCTACAAAATTGGGGACCTCGTTTTAAGAAACTAGCAGACTTATACGGCTCCAAAGACAATTTTGAAGATGATTCTTAACAATAAAGTTACAAATTTGGCCTTAAGAACTGTGTCTAATATTCTGAACAAAATGAACGAAAAAAATAATAATAATCAGAGAAAAAAAATGTAAGCAGGTATTTTTTTAAAATAAAACAAGGAAAGACTTATCTGAAGCATCTAGGTTTGGTGAGGGAGTCTTTAATTGCAAATGGACAGAGGGGAAAAAAGTGGTAAATACTGTGAAGTACCTTTTCGTGCAAAAAGGCAAAGACAGAAGTTGGGAACAGCTTCACCAGAAGGGAGAAAAAAATATAACCACTTGTGAAATACAAAATATTTAAGTGAAGGGAAATTCTGAAGTCATCCTAGAATTGAGGGCAATCTTTTCCTATATTTTATGAACAGCCGAGTCTTTTATGTCAAAGAAGCTTCCACAAATTAGAAAGGATAACAGTTCAGAGCTGTAATTTCGCCTTAAATCATGGACACTCCCTATGTAGTGCATTTTTAAACTTGAAATATATAATATTCAGCCAGCTTAAACACATATGTATGTACAGGACAATGTACAATTATAATGTCTTTAGAGCATCCAACTTGTTTCAGCTGACTCTTGTAAATCTTTTTGCTTATACTTTCATCTTAATCTAATACGTGCCAGATATAAAACTGTCTTGTTTCAGTGGGAGGCGCCCTATTTCTATGTCATTTTTAAATGTATCTATTTGTACAATTTTAAAGTTCTTATTTTTAGTATACATACAAATATCAGTATTCTGACATGTACGAAATGTTACATCACACTTATATTTTATGAACATTGTACTGTTGCTTTAATATGTGCTTCTATATATGAAGCAGACTTTGAAATAAAAAGGATTTTTTAAATTCCTGTTTGTTTATTAAACATTTAAAGGGAAAGCATTGTTTCTGGTGCTCTGTTCGCAGATGTATATCCCTATATCTCTAAATACCAGGCTCACCTTTGACTAGCCCTCCTTATTATGCACTTGTAGCTAAAGTTGTCTTGTTAAGTGATTAGTCAAAAATGAATTACAAATCAATTTTTAAGATAAATACTAGCAAAGTCTGTATAGACCTGGTGTCTACTTTGCAACAGTAGAGACTTTAAATATGAAACAAGTATGCTCTAGGCCCACTTTGGTTTCTTTTTCTAAGTATGGCCATGTCGAAAGTATTTATCTTACCTCTTGATAATTCCATAGCCTTTCACAAACGACTTTATGAGTAAGCAAGTCTACATGAGTGTACTTTTAAGTTTTTCCATGGCAATGAAGCTGAATCCATCATAGGCTTCTGTGAGCTTCAAGAGACTTAAAGATGGGTTTGACCCATTTTTTGGCTGCAGGCCACGAACGACTTTCTGTCCAACAATGTCAGTAGTTATTAATTGGGGCTTTGACATGTAAGTAGGTGTGTTACTTAGTCTGCTAGACTGGCATTGCTGCATCTAAAAGAAAAAGAGAAAAAAAATTAAAGACGGCTTATTTGACTTGTTTTCTACATTGTTTTAAGCAATTCTTTTTTAAAGGATCTATAGATTAGTTCTGGATTAGTTTAGACAGCCCAGGAGAGGAGATGATCATTGTGATTCAAATCGCTATGTACATTAGCTGAAGGAGGACTGGATACAACAGGAAATAGCTCCATTACTTGGGGAAGAGGACTATGGCTTAAAAAATACAGACACTTCTGAGACATAAATCCACTGCCAGCAGTGTTTCTGCCATTATAGCCAGATTGACTAGACAGATTGCTCTGAGGATTGGATGGGCTGGTTTTGGATCCACTGGACTCAAAGCCCTTCCATTCCTCACTGAGGCATTATTACTATATCCCTAACTTACAGCGGTGTCCAGCTGGTGTACATGTTAGCTCTGTCACCTATTTGGAGGATTATGTGTTGTCAGAAGAAAAGGGGGTAACTTCCCCTTCCACCATGGCAGATGTCGGGATGATGGCTGGCTCAATGATAGGAGTCTGTTTTGAGCTTTGTTATGACTGATCTCTCCGTACAGCTTTTTAGCAGCTGGGCTGACCTGAAAACATGCTGAATTTAATGCAGCCATTAGAATAAAATAGGAGGTCTATAAATATAAGAAGAGGCCTTATCAGTAGCAAAATACTCTATTATAGTTTCAGATAATTATGGGAAGGGGGAATCCCGCTTCCATCCATAACTTGCAGTTAAGAATACAATTGTCAAAATTTAAGAGATCTGCATTGCTTTTAGTACTTTTAAGGTTGAAACAGACAAGAAAGGTAGCTTTGCAAGTAAGAGGTGATAAAACATTATTCCTCCAGAGGAACATTATTTGAAGCTGCAAAATTTTGCACAATCAGCAAAAGGAGCCCATTGTTTCCTCCAGACAACCGAATGCCCAACGGAAGAAAGCTCATTTGCAACTTGGAAAGCTGCAAAACAATATTAGAGAATAATCAGACATATTTGACTGCTTACAGTAGCTGTGCTTCTGATTGTGAAGATACCCACCTCGTCTGTTTCAGCCCTTGTTTTAAAATCATGGAACTGCATATGTGTGCATTTACACTTTAATTATTTAATATATATGCTTTTTGCCATTATAGTATTAAGTTCTCCAGATCCCAATATACTGATTATGAGGAAAAATGTTATTCTATCATGTCCTACTTCAATATTGCATAAGGATTGAAAAAAATATGTTTTGTGTGCTTCCATAATTCTTAATGTTTTTTAGGTTATTATTACTTTTCCCGCAGCTTTTATATTCCAAAGACTATTTTGCTAGATTTGCACGTCTCTCCAATATGATTTCTTCTTTCTTTCTTTCTTTCTTTCTTTCTTTCTTTCTTTCTTTCTTTCTTTCTTCCTTCCTTCCTTCCTTCCTTCCTTCCTTCCTTCCTTCCTTCCTTCTTTCTTTCTTTCTTTCTTTCTTTCTTTCTTTCTTTCTTTCTTTCTTTCTTTCTTTCTTTAAACTATCTGATTATATTAACATGTAGAATAAGTTTGATGGCAGCTTGCCATCCCCATTATCATCATCACCATAATTTTTGCTTTTTATAATTTTCACTATTTGGTACTGTACTTTTTACTGGATTGTTAGGCAATTCTAAAACTTTTTACTTTTTTGTTGATTTTTAAAAGGAGAATATGTTGTCAATTACTTTTTATAATTTTCAATTTTGGGTGGGGTTTTGTGTCTGTAAGTTCTCTCTCTTTCTTTTTTTTTCTCACAAGCGTGAAAATAAATTTACTATCACCACCAGTTTTGTCTTTTTCCTAAACTTAGCTACCCAGCGGTGTTTCCAAGCAATCATCCTCTGGACTACAAAATCAAATCCTTTGTTTTATTGAGACACTCAGGGATAATGTTTATTTGTTGAATACTACATCTACATTTCAAAGTTTCCTGGAGTATAAAGGTAATGTTGTTCTCTGAGCTGTCACCAGAAGGAAATGTTTAGACTTACTCCGATGTCACACTTTGGTACTAACACCTTCTCACATAAAAGAGCCAGTCTACAAACACCAAATTGTGGCTTTTGGAGCAGAAGGCTTCTACTTCCTCTGTCACTGTGTTTTAAATATGATACTATGTACTACAGAGGGATATTCCCATGACAGCTAAATATTTTATGTGCAAATATAAAAACCCATTATTAAAGTCTGGACTACTGTATACTTATGCTGGCATGGGCTCCTCAAATGAGGAAAGCTTTAGCAAACACCGTTATTTGTAAAAATAAAAAATCATTTAGGGGAGGAAATCTAAATATTGAGAAACCTCAAAAACAGTCCAGTGATGGAAGTGCATGCTCAGTGATCAATGAATATTGTCTGACTCCTTGGGAATGGAATGGAAGATTCATGGCGAGGAGAAATGGAATGAATACAGGGTGTGATGGACCACTAGCTTTAGGGAGTCCCTCTGTAACCACTTAGTCACACTACCCTGGTGATACTGGTCAGCCCATGTCTGCTCCCCTTCCTTCACACAGCTAAAATCATTTTCCAATTAGCCCAGTACTAGGGAATGAGCAGACATGTCTTTGAAGTCTTCACCCAAAAGATAAAGTGCAAATGTTTATTCTGTTACTGGCAGAGAGACACTTCCCACCTTTATCCACACCAGCCATTCCCAGGCACTGAAAGAGTGAAATTTCCAGAATCCACAACCTATGTTCTCCTATTTCTCTGTTTCTTCACACAGGGTATAAATGACTGTCTAGTATCATGAACAGAACCACACAATACTAATATTTTATCTGTACAGCCAGAAAAAAAAACCTATGAGAACGACTAGACAAGGCAGTATAAACACGTCTTTATTGTCACTTGAAAGTGAGAAGATTAAATAAAAAAGAGTCATGTGGTCATTAGTTACACAATACAAATGCAGGAATAGGTGATATGTTTATAGAGCACTAAAGAAATCATACTGTCTGCTAGCTTTCATGGATCAGAAAGTTCACTTCCTCAGGCATACAGCAGTGTCTTGTCATTAGTACAAAGAAGTTAGGAACCCAAAAGTTCGCAGACGAAAGATTTTGCCAGGTGTTTATCTTAGATATCAGTTAAGAAAGATGCAGGCTATGTTGGAGCTATTGCATTAAAGTTACAACTGAGGAAGCTGTTGATTGGATATCACACTCCTTTTCTGAAAATGAAGTCAGTGCAAATTGCTGCAACATATTTTACAATCCAGCACAATTTATGTGCAATAAGATGAGAACAAACTTAGTGGGTTCATAAAGCCACTCATAAAAATCTTGTGTGAAAACAGGGAAGTTAGACATTAAATTGTAGTTAGTTTATTGTTGCTTACAGAAGTCTTCCAAAAATAAAAGTTGATTTTACAAAATACAGTGGTGCCTCGCATAA